CCCGCGGGTGGCCTTGGCATCGCCCGCAGGAGCTGCCTGCGGGGGGGCGTTCCCTTTGGGCCGGTTGACCGAGTTGGTTTAGATCAGTGTGGTCTCTCGGATGCCCGTTTGAAGGGCGGGTTCACTCCAGCCTCGAGCACGGCTGGTGGTTCCGCACAGATGCGGTAACTTGGTGTCACACGTTTGCTGTCGTGAGGAAGGCTTAACAGACAACTGCAGGGACCTTGGCCCGAGTGGTGCCCAGAATGACCCACCCAGTCCAGCAAAAATTCGTGTGCACATTTATGTGTGACCCTTTACAAATTGCATTTTCTTATTCAGATCTAATCCCCGTGCAAAATTATTATCCACTTGTGTACGGATTGTACAGGTTTTAGTAGAGGATCCTCATGGTTGGTGGTGGAATTTGGTTTACAAACTCATAACTTTTCTTTGGGTGGTGCTGCCCATCACACAGTGAGTACTGCTAAAACAATGGCTACGTTTACCTTCACTGACACGTTTTGTAGCATTTGCTATCTTAGTAATGGAAAATTGCAAATACAAGTGGCAGTTGTATAGATTCTGATTGTTAAATGCATATGTTCTAAGCATAATCAAGCTATACTGCAAGTTAAGCAATGTAAGTAGCACCAAGTGTTTATTTGTTTATCTGTGTTTCTTTACTGATCCCAAATGCTGTTCTTCAAGCAGCTGATCTATGTTCAAATTAGATAAGCAGGCAGCTAAAGCCACAAATTTACATTATTCTGTAGTCTTAAATAAAATACTCTGCCCTCATGAGACCCCACCTGTGGCCAGTCTGGAGCCCTCAACACAGGAAGGACATGGAGTCTTGGAGCAAGTCCAGCAGAAGGCCACCAAGATGGTCAAAGGGCTGGAGCACCTCTCCTATGAAGACAGGCTGAGGGAGTTGGGGGCCTGTAGAAGAGAAGAGGAGACCTGAAGGGGGTCTACAGGAAGGTTGGGGAGCTTTCACAAGGTCGTCTAGTGAGAGGATGAGGAGGAATGGTTTTAAGCTGGAAGAGGGTAGATTTACCCTAGACATTACAAAGAAACTCTTTAGTGTGAGGGTGGTGAGACACTGGAACATGTTCCTCAGGGAGGTTGTGGATACCTCATCCCTGGGAGTGTTCAAGGCCAGGTTGGATGGGGCTTTGAGCAACCTGGTCTAGTGGGAGATGTCCCTGCCCATGCAGGGGGGTTGGAACTAGGTGATCTTTAAGGTCCCTTCCAATCCAAACCATTATATGATTCTATGATTTAAATTAATATTTCTTAGGCAAGCTTCTTCTAAATCCCAGTTACATTTTGCTTTCTTCCTCATTCTCTTTTAGAACCTTGTTCCTAACAGGTACAGAGCTTTGAACTATATTTAATTAATATGGGAGTTAATGAAAAGACAGCATCTGCAGACAGGACTCTGGGAGTTTATTTTGTGCGATGCAACTCTGCACACTGTCAAGAGTTTGCAATTACAACTCCCTGTTAAGGGTCATCTCCTGAGTGGAGTGACAAGTAAGTGGTAGTAATCACTGTACAGCAGTCCTTTTGGACTCTGTCAGTGCCACTCCTTAATCAGCTGCAGAGCTTCCTCAATGACCATTAATTTCCTTTCCTGGATTGTCAGCCTAATGACTCTGCAGTGGTGGAAAACACTGAGAAAAAGAAAGTTGCATTGAAAGATAAGGAGTAAATAGGAGAAAATGTGTTTGTAACTTACAAGAAAAAAATAAAAATCAATAACTGCACCTCCTGCAAGCTTACCGTGACTTCAGAACTGAAGTTTAATCACATAGCTTAGTTCCAGAACTGATGTCTGGACTTGTGGGAATGGGTGAGAAGCATTGCACTGCCTAAACAGCAAGCTTTTGAGACAAGTGATGCAGAAACGGTGTGAGCAGTGACTGCTTCCTGTCTATGAAATAGTTTCAGGGACCATGACCTGTCGTGTTCCCAAATTAAGCCCCTTCTCCAACACATAAATTTAGTCTCTGTGTTTGTCATCCTCCTCTCCATCAGTCAGCAGGCTGTAGGAGAGCCTGTGTATATAGAAATGATGGGAAGGAGACCAAGAGCTGCTTGGATATTGCAGCTCAGATTATCCTGTTCTCCAGTGGTCTTTCATATACATCTAATAGGGAACATAGGAATTAACCATGTGGAAGCTCTTAAATTTGGCTTCTCCAGAAAAATTAACATCCCTTCTGCCTCACCAAACCGTATTTTGGAAAACAGTAATGCTGCTCTTTGTACCTGAGTGCTATTCTGCAAGGTGAATATTCAGGAGTACAGTTGTGGTATCAGTGCTGGCATGGTGTGTGTGCCACAGGGTCTCATGCTTCAGAAGGCCTTACCGCAAGGGGGTGTTGCTTTTTAGCAATAGTTTATAGTAAATACTGCTATTTTATAGTCATTTAAGTGTTTATGGAACCTAAATGCCATTTTCTATATTCAGAATTGAAAATGTCTGAAGACGTATGTGATGGCATCTTGTCTGAAGAAAAACCTGAAGTAATGGAAATGCCCAGCAATGAGATACTGCCTCACAAGTTAGTACCACATCTTGTGGAAGGTGAGGTCTCGCATGAGTCTTCACATGATGAACATCAACAGGCCACTCAGAGTGCCAGCAATGGACAGGAAGGACACATATTTATCAATGAAAACCCTTTAACTGAAAAAATAATTGAAAGTCTGCCTTCCAATGGAGAGGCGACTGAAGACGTGCCCACTGAGTGCATTGAGACTGTAAGCCTTGATGCAGAACCTGAATCTGAAGAAACACTGCATGAACAAAGCAATCCAGTAAGTAGTACTTTCTTTTCCATAAAAGCCCTCCCCTTCATGCTTAGTAAGGACAGTATGTACACAAAAGCCTGGAGAGTTAAATGCAGAGAACTTGCATGGTAATAAAGTAAGTTAAGTTGTAACACCAAGCTTTTGGAAAATAGGAACAACTGAATTTCTCTTTGCCAGTATGATATGTATTTGGTCTTTCTAGCCTGCTTTCAGTGAAACTGTTTATACCAGAGCCTAAATCTAATGAAGAATCTAGTCCATTTTGTATTCATACAGTACTCCTGTGGTTTTGTTATCTGGATTTCTGGTGAAATCTGCTTCATTCAGTTCACAGAATGAACCGAGGAGAGGACAGAATTGAAGCTGCATGTGCATCACTGAATCTTGTACTTGCTGATTTTCAAGTCATTGACTTTACAAAAACAGTGTAGGGTTCACAAACCTGGGTGAAACTGCTAGTAGCTTTTGATTATTTCTAGGCCAGTAGTGTTTAATTTGTGATCCACAGACCTTTGGGAGTCATGTGAGTAATTGCAAGAAGTTAATAAATGAAAACTAAGATAAACAAGGCTTTTCTATGGTCTGCACATCATCCAAATCCAATACACATGACATAGCTGAAGATGGTCTCATCTCCACTGAAAAATTTTCAGGCATCCACAAATTGGAAAAGGTTAAAACACATCTATCCACCAGTGAGAAGGGCCTACCTGGGAGAGATTACAGGGGATCTGCATGCTGCAGATCTGATGTGGAATACTTCAGCTTTTGATTTTGAGTTGGTCATTTAGAGATTATATGTTACTAGAGACTTTCTTTAGATAGCAGTTTCTTAATATGATTTAAACACAGAATACTGGTAATTTCTTAATACCACACATTAATGTGTTTCCCTCAGTTCAAGAAGGACAGGGAAGTGCTTGAAAGAGTCCAGCGCAGAGCTACAAAGATGATTAAGGGAGTGGAACATCTCCCTTATGAGGAAAGGCTGAGGGAGCTGGGTCTCTTTAGCTTGGAGAAAAGGAGACTGAGGGGTGACCTCATCAATGTTTACAAATATGTAAGGGGTGAGTGTCAGGGGGATGGAGTTAGGCTTTTCTCAGTGATGACCAGTGATAGGACAAGGGGCAATGGGTGTAAATTGGAGCATAGGAGGTTCAAGGTGAATATCCGAAAAAAAATTTTTACTGTAGGAGTGACAGAGCACTGGAACAGGCTGCCCAGGGAGGTTGTGTAGTCTCCTTCACTGGAGACATTCAAAACCCACCTGGCTGAGTTCCTATGTGATGTACTCTAGGTGACCCTGCTCTGGCAGGGGGGTTGGACTAGATGATCTCTCGAGGTCCCTTCCAGCCCCTAAGATTCTATGATTCTATGAATGTGAAAGGTGGTCAGCACCTCCTCTGGCTATGTTTTTACTGAAGTCGGGAGTTAGGAGTTCTCTGTGCACAGCTACTGAGTTTATGCCTCTGAAGAGACTCAGGCGGATAAGTCTCTAACTCTGGCTCCCATAGAACTCAAGAAGGAGACAGGTTCCCGCCTCTCCCTAATAATAGTCCTAATAAACTTCTATGGCTTTACAGAATCAGGTACCTGAAGAAACATTAGGATACCTGTAAAGACATCTCTGGAGTTTTAAGCACTTCCAGGTGTTATGATCTTTCCATTCTGCTTTATTGTGCACAGAAGCTTGAAAACCATATAATACCTGAAAGTGTTTAAGATCCTATGAAGAATCTCTTGCACCTTTAGGAAATAAAAGACCTTTAAAAATATGGCTTTAGTGACCAAATTGTGAAAATAAAGGCAATATAAATCAGGCATTATAATAAAGCTAGAGAAGGGCATGTCTGCTCATCTGTTCACTGCACACATGTGTGCACCAGTATTAGCACCTTCCCAACCGGATGTCCCAGTTCTCCAGCTAGAAGTTAGGCTCTGCAATGTGGCCTGGAGAACCTATTATGGGGCCTTTCAGTCAAAGCCTGCAAGGTTAGTTTAACGCACAGAGACAGAGCGAGGTTTATGAGCATGGTTTCCTCCTGGGAGAAGAAATGATGAGGTGACAACAGTAACAACCCTACAGTGCCATAATAATGACACCTGTCACGCAAGGACCACTTTGCACAAAAGCTTAAGCATCTGCCAGAGGTGCTGGTTGACACAGTTTTTCTCAGTCACCATTCTGTGCTATCTCTCTGTGTGTTCTGTCTCTGAAATAATGTTCTTCAGAAGGCATTACCATTATTAGGGAAGCCAAGTATTATATTACAAAGTGCCTATCTTCAAAACGCTTGCTCTCCTAAGTAGTGGCACAACCATTTTTACTCGAATCATTATTTATTACATGCTAGATTTCATTGCCTGACAAGTTATTTATGCTTCCCCCTGACTTTAGGTAACAAATTTTAGACAAAGCAGTAATATTTTTGTTCTTATAGGCCACAGAATCCTCATCCAAAGGAAGTAGATGGGGGACTTGGGGGACTTGGGGAAAGTCTCTCCTGTCATCAGCTTCTGCCACAGTGGGTAAGTGTTCAATCAGTAAAGTACATGAAAATAAATAATAATGTGTTGTTAGACATTAGTGTTGTATTTTTACGATTCATAGACAGTTTTATTCTGATATGTTTGGTGAGCAATAGAAAGAAGGACCTTCCTAAACTGTCAAAGCACATAAATGTTTCTTCAGGTCAGATTATGGACAAAGTATTAGTCTTATTTGTAGGATTAGTGAATTACTTCATTGTGGCTTCTTCACAGAAAGGATACATAATCTGATACAATTACTATCAGCCAAAGGCTTATGGCTTCTGAAGTCAAAGCACACCACCCAAATTCACGCACATGCATGTTTGTGGTTTATACACCATGACTATGACTATGATCTATACAATATAAATGGACTTCTTATAGATCATTCCACCGTTCATTGACACCCAGTGAAACTGTTAACCTATCATATCAGGCTTTAGAGAGTAGAACAGCATATTGAAACATGGGCCCTGTAGTTCCTCTACTCTCATTTCTGGTAGTATGTCAGAACAAAATGTCCATGTGAAGACTTTAGGTAAAACTGAATTGTTGCACATTAAAAACTCACAGACAAAAAGCAAAACATGCGAATACTTACCAGTGGGAAATAATTTCTCACAAAGCAGCTGTTAAGCTGTTAACTGGTCACTTCTCATAAAGGATCCACAAAACACCTTCAAAAGATGAACCTAGGAATTAAAATTAATTGCTAGTTACTAAAAATAATGATTCAATAGAGATATTTTTTGTATGATCCCATATAAGGCTAAATAGTTTTCCTTCTTCTTCTTCTCTGTTCTATGGGCAATAAGTTATTTCTCTCTGTTTCTCAGAGAAGGAGGCAGCATTCCCATATCCTCACTGTTTTTTCAGTAACATCTGCACTCAAGAGCTTGTAACTACCTTTTCTTTCAGACAGTCCAACAAATATCTAATTAAACTCAGAATGGGTTTCTAAAATGTCTTTAAATTTACATAAGTGAAAGTTGCTACTGAAAATAACAGGTCTGCCTTGCCCAGCCGATATATTTCTTCCTTGTCTTAAGCTAACAGTAGCCTTCATGTTGTGATGTAGGGAGCTGGTTTATGGGACTGATTTAGAAAAGTACAAATGAAGTAAGAGTAAATGTAGACATTATTTGGATTAAGGTCCCTGCCACAAAGCAGATGTGATACTCGTCTACACAACAGCATCTGTAATGCGTTTGGATTAGTAGCAGTCACTGAACCATGCTTAGTGTCTGACACTAGATGTCACACTAAGGAAGTTATTGAATCTGCCTTATGAATGAGATGAAGAGTTTTCTTTTGTTTTTGAAAGGTGCAAGAAGTTTTGTTTCCCCTCTTGTGGAACCTCAGTGGAGTACATCTGCTGAAATAGTTGCTGGGATGATGGGATGGGAGAAAGTAGGCTCACTGTTATCTGAAGACACAACTTCTTTTTTCCTAATTTTCACTATTTTACTCTCTTTCAAATTGTATTCTTTAGTAAATCAGTAATTGCACCATTAAGTGCTTTAGCAACAGTGTTGATAAAACTCTGTGTTACCATTGCAACTAAGCCAATCTGATGGCTGGGAGTCACTGAAATGTGCTATCCTGCACCTCTCTTTTTCTTGCATGTTTCTTCCTCCTACCTATGTCATCACTCATGCTCCTCTGAGCTCCTAGCAATCCAGTTCAGGAAGGAAAACTGACATAAGAATAACTAGAGGAAGAAAAAGAAGAGACCAGCATTATGCCTATGCTATTATTAAAACTTTTTACCATTGCAGTGAGGTGATCTGAAACTAGTCTCATTTACTAGCTTAATTGGAGTTATTCCTGATTCACAGACTGGATAGTATAGGAATTATCAGAATCTAGCTTGTGTTTTTCTTTTAACTGCAAGGAAAAAAGTTTTCTAAGCTCTTGGAGTGATCAGTGCCCATTATGAAAATGAGCACAGTGGGGTCCCACTTTTTTAGCATACAAAAGCAGAGCACAGCTGGCTTTTCCACATACCTAGACTTCATACAGTGGAGGGATTCCCACCCCAGTCATCTTTAGGTTCCTTAGTTTCTCAGCCAGTGTCAGATGCTAAGATCTTTATCTTTAGCTTGAACCAGGTGATACTTCATCATTTTACCAGATAGAATTGTGGTCAGTTGTTCATCAGAATTGTCCCCATGGTGCAACACAGGTGACAAAGACTGTGTGACAGACAAAGATCTCAGACTCACCCTCCCTACCTGTACCACTGCAGCAGGCAGCCCAGTGGCTTGAGAGCACTAGACTGACAAGGGGCACCAGTTCCTGCACAGAATGGTTTAGATTTCAGACGTGAGTGTCATTGATCTGGCCTCAAGCAGATCAGGCAAACTCAAAGGCAGGCCATATTTTTAGGAACTGCTTGCAAAACCTCCCTTTTCAAATTAAAGATTCCAGCTACCAAGATGAACAATAAAATTCTGCTGAAATTGTCAGCAGCAGAAAGAAATCATCTAGGCAAGAAAAACAACAGCAACAACCCAGCAAAAACATACCTTCTTCAAAAAGTAAACAGTTAAGAATACCTGTTCACAGCTCTCCTGTCTGTGCAGTTACAGCGGAGTAAATGGAGATGCTGAATGTGTTCATAAGTTTACTGTATCAGCACAGTTGCCTTACAAATGTGTAACTACTGAGTTACCCAGTGTATCAAAAACAGTGCATCTTTATCTCTAAAATCTGGGATCATCTTCCATCTCTTTTATTTCTGTGCTTTTTGAATATACAAATAATAATTTTCATTTCCAAAGCAACATGAGCTTTTGCTGTGTTTGTGTATCTTAACAGTGCTGACTTGCTTCAGTTGTGGTCTTCTGATCCCATCTGGCTTTGTTGTTATGATCAAACATACAAACCATACAGCTTCGTTCAGCAAAACCACTCCTAGCTGACCTGAAAATTTTTCTCATTCTAGTGCATGTAACCACAGCCCTGAAAATGCTGCCTTTTATAAGTCTGTGAATATCAGTACAGAACTGTGTGCCTCCTTTCTTGGAAATACAAGCTTGCCTGCAAAACCATGAACACCAAATTACAGAATATAAAAAAAAAAAAAAAAAAAAAAAATTAGATACAGAATAAACCCTGGAAAATTAATCTGAAAATCTGTAACTTTCACACATGTTTAAAGTGAAATTTTTGCTTAATATTTGTAGGTATATAAAAAATTCACTACAGGAAGATATTATTTTGTTAGCAAATCTAGTACTTAAGAAAAATTAAGTCAATGGAAGGAATGGAACTCTTGCTCATTAAAAAAGTTGTGCACAGGAAAGGAATGTGGTGGACAGTATCTATTACATCAGTTTAAAAGAACATTTAATAGTTATTTAAGTGAGACTCAGGAATTTTTGAAGATTAATAGGTATTCTGATTGTTATGATGCGTGGAATATATGAATACTATGCACTGTTAGTAGTAAGTTTTCAAATCACATAATTTAAAATATGCTTCTGCTGCAGGTCATGGGATAACAGCAGTAAAGGAAAAAGCAGGAACTACCCTAGGAATTCATAATGCGAGTTCAGCATCTTCAGAAACAGCAGAGCCTCCTGCAGCTGAAACACCAATTATACGTAAGTTCAAGTTTACTGAAATTGGACAAAACTCTTTGATGCTGCCATATTAGTCCAACTTATAAAATTTTAAGATTTTGATAACAAACTCAAGTTTACCATACTTTGTAACTTGTAGAGCTGAAAGTATGCTGTAGTTATCTTTTTTCTTCTGTTAGAAGCAGATGATTCTCTGGACCAAAGCTCTTCTGAGAATATTCCTTCTTCTTCACCTGGATCTCGTGGCATGTTGTCAGCTATCACAAATGCAGTACAGAGCACAGTGAGTAATTTTAGCAGCCTTTCTGCTCTAGTCTTCATAATTTTTTGTGCAGCTTCACTGCATGTCCCGTTTAACAGGTAGAGGTTTTTAAGTTGTATGTCTTTGTAAAAACGGTTCTGTTGTAAGTCTTTTTAGAGTCTCTTCCATGGCAAAATAACTACTGAATTAAAAAAAAACGGTCACACACAACTAAGTCAGTCGCTACTTTGGCACCAGTTTAAGTTCTAAACTATATAAAATTCTACAAGTTCTTGGGAAATCTTCTTTTTTTATGTGATACTATTGTCTAATTTTTTTTATAGTTAAGTCCTTCCAGAGAAAGTGTAAGATTTCTTACCATTTTTGAAGGCAGAAAAATAAGAAAATACTCCATTTGCTTATTTTAAGTCTTTTGCTAAACTGTATTGTTAGGCCCTGGTCCTTATCTTCACCCCTCCATCTGGTTTCTGATTTCATGTTAGCCTTCCCAGGAGGTGGCCTGATTGCAGACTCAATGAGGCAGGTGCTTTTGTCTGTGGTTCTTTCCTAGTACACTCCCCATATATTTTCTGTGTGTTTCACTCATCCCTTTCTGGTTTTCCGTGTTTCAGCTTTCTCAAAATCCTGTACCATACTGCTTCCAGATAATTTTTGTGTCATCTTCTTCCCCAATTTTTTTACACACTATTACCATAGAAAATGTTTTTCCTCTGAGCTTTTAAGTGTGGTGTTTCCCTTGAAATTACGACAGACTTTAAGCATTGGCTAAAAAAGCACAGAAGACTTAAGTGCCCATGAGCATCTTTATGAAGTGGCAATTCTTTTTATATCCAGTTCACTCTGAGTGTTTCATCACTCTAATATCAAGGATTTTGGGAGCAGACTGAGATTCCTATGAACTATTCCTAAGACTGTTCCTGTAGAATCTGGAGCATCATAGGGCTTGTGAGACCTGCATATCAGTAAGATCACCTGTGCCTGGTATAAGATTTTCAAATAAGATAAATGTGCCAGCAAAAGCCATACTCTTTACAGTTCATATTAGCATAAAGTGGAAAGGCAATAACCACATTACATTATTTTATGCAGGGGAAGAGTGTATTATCTGGAGGCTTGGATGCTTTGGAATTTATTGGGAAGACGACTATGAATGTCCTTGCAGAAAGTGATCCTGGATTTAAGAGAACCAAAACACTGATGGCAAGAACAGTTTCCCTGTCTCAGGTTGGATTTATTTAAATACAGTTCTGTCAATGCCTTTTCAGATTATTTTCCCAGAATTTCAAATGCCTAAGGGAGCTGCTTTTTTTATTGCAGTAGGTATTGGCTAGGCATATGGAAACAAATATTATTATTATGTTTTCTCCAATTTCTTTTTCTTCACAGAACCACGAAAGATAATATAAAATCATATTTTCTGCATAATCAAATGTACAATAGCTGATTCTATTAAGATAGTATATGTGTTGATCTGTCATTACACTCTGGAGACAGAATCACATTGTTGGTGTTTTTGTAACAGCTGTAAATAGATACCTTCCAGCATAAATATGACTCTACTACTTTCCTTGAAAAAAGTACTGGAATGTGACATATGTTTCATTAGGAATTAAAGCTGCTTAAAGGTCTGTCTTAACGCCCATCTAAACTAATGGTGTCCTTACACAGTTGTGACTCATGTTTTAAAGTTCAGAGACACGATGAAAACAGAGCAGAAGTATAAGGCTGTCAGTAAAAAATTTTTGTAACTTGTACATAAAACCATGTGAGTGACCTTTTGAAGGTCGAGACTGAAAAATCTGCATCAAAATTCTTTTCTAAGAAATTAATAACTGAAGACAATATCACAGAAATTTTGAATGATGGGATAGTATAAGTGGCAAGAGTTCATTGGTATTCAGAGATTTAAATGGGAGTTAAGATGCAGTTCAGATGTATTTACCAGCTTTACTGTATCAAATTCATACAAGAGGCCATTCCTTCCTGGGAATAGAAAGGAGGAATAGAAGATCCTGTTCTATACACTCTTCTGTCCTCATACAGTAATAAAGCTGTATGAGAAGTTGACTCCAAGATATCCCCAAGTATATGGGGTATAGTTCTGCCCTGCCTTTGATAGAAGTCATACCCTTTTAGGCCAGTCTCTTTTTGTCAGTCCTGCTGTTGCATAAAATTGACTGTACTATCTGCTAAAAATGCTTTATCATGTTTATGTAGGTGCATATGCAAATAGGTAGGTAAGTGCTGAAAATAATATTCCCATTTTGTGTTTTGTGTTATGGATTGCACGACTCTTTAAGGCTGTATATGAAATTCTCCTTTTTATTTTTCTTTCATTGTAATTGGTGGCTAAATTTATTATGTGGTATCCATAGCTGACATTGCTTTTGAGAACATAAGCAAGATTATTTGTTTGTTCATTGTTTTTTTAAAAAAGATGGTAGCAATTGCCATTGGGAAAATCTACACTTAGAATACTACTTAAATATTTTATTAGAGACATTTATAAAGAAATAAGTTTGGTATTTCAGTTCTATAGGTGTGATATAGTCCCAAATTTTGTTACTACTTCTTAGAAAAGCAGAAAGCAATAAAATCTGTCATACCTACAGCACCACCTATAAAACAATATGAATGATTTATGTTTTTGCAGCTGTTGCGAGAAGCCAAAGAAAAAGAGAAACAGAGGCGGGCCCAGCAAGTGACAGTTGAAAGAACAGCACATTATGGACTACTTTTTGATGAGTTCCAGGGTTTGTCTCATCTTGAAGCTTTGGAAATCCTGTCAAACGAAAGTGAAGCCCAGGTACAGTGTGCAGAATCAAAAGGGGTGATAAAAATTTTTGGCTCTGCCAGTGCATATGAAATGAACAGTGAGTTTTTCATCAACTTCAGAGAAAGCTGGATTGGTCCCACGGGCCAGTCCTTGGCATCAGGAAATCAATCTCAGTACACATTAATTTAACTCCAGGATTAACTCAAAACAAAAAAGTTCAAAATTGCAAGTTGTTTTTGGTTAAGGCCATAGGTAGAATGTATTTTTCAGCTTGTGACACTATGCAGATGTATTTTCAGAATTTGCAAAGAGGTTGATGTATTTTGGTTTTTAATCAGACACTGATACTTAGATTCAGGAGTTCCAAACCTACTACACCTAGACCCTAGTGAATTGAAATGAGTTCCAGGTTACTTATTGAATCCCTAAGACTTCTTTATTGCATTGGATTTTAAACTTACCTAAGATTACCCAAAGATAGTACTGGAAGTGTACAAATGCTATATGACCCTCTGAAGAACATGCTAAGGTTACTAAGGTACATACGATAAATATCTTAATCCAAGCAGTCACAAAATGCACATTACAGTTTGCAATCAAACCATAGATTTATTGTTCAAAACTAATGTTCTGGGAGAAGGTAGAGACCTGATGATCTTGCAAGGCTGGTGTAATTTTTGTGATACTCAACAAATTTGTTGAGGAGAACTAAAAATGTGCCCACATTGGAAGGTTACAGACAAGATTTGAGCACAATGGAAGTTTCAATTTCTTAGCTTACTTTAGTATCAGGCTCTAAATTAGCAAGACATGCTAATTAAGTGCTCGTTAAGAAATGCTCTGGTTTGGTTAGGAATGCTTACTATCTTTTCTTTTACAGATTCAGTCATATTTAGCCACACTTGATAGAGAGCAGTTGGAGACTGTGAAAAATGATTTAATTGCTATAAAAGAGATTTTTGTTCCAAAGGAATCAGACAACGAAGTGGTGCAGGAACAGAAAGGTAATATGGAGACTTAAACATAAATAATTGTTAATTCAATATACAGTAATTAAAAAAATACAATCCCAACTATAATTTCTGATATCTTAACACTCTTCATAAGGTAAAATTAATACTCTGAAAGTTCTGGAAGCTAATGAATGCTTAATTTTTAATGTATATTGTACTTGAAGTGTGAGAGTGAAAATATAAATAACTACTAAGTTACTTTGCTGTATCATCATTCAAAGAAAAAAATAGGAAAGGAAAATAGTAACCTTTTGGATAACTGAGGTTTTGTTGCAGAACCTAGGATGGTGTAATCTGAAAGTTCAGAGTGTTTATCAATGCTTTTCTGTTTACCAACTTTGTCCTCACTTTGTGCCTTCCCTTGCTAGGTAGGGAAAAAACTAGAGTGCTATAAAGAGACTTAAGAACCTTGAACTTTTTGAAGAAAAGTCCCCTTGAAACACAGTTACAAAGCTGCTTTCTAGGTATTCTTGGGCAAGAGGTGGCAGTGGAGCATGAGAAAGAAGTTAAAGCAGCAGAAACATGCCATCCCTCTGACAGAGTGCGCAGCATTGAAGATACTGAAGACACTGAACACCATGACAGTCCATAGATCAGCTCCTCAGAGTTTCAATAAAATGGGCAGATGCTTTGGGCTGGGGCAAAATGGGCATCTCAAACATGTCAGGAGTTTTAGCATTCCCCAGAACAGGCTCAGAACAGAAAGAAAGGAACTTAAGTTAGAAGCACCATAGTTCATGACTCCGAGGCCTGTGAGATCCATACCAAACCTCTTCTAGCTGATAGAAACAATCCCGTTGACCTGTTTGAAGACTGGCTGATGCCATTGAACCATATTTTGTGTTTCAGAAAAATAGAAACATAAAAAAGGCATTTCTTCCATATCCTTTTGATCTTTTCAGGGGTGCCTTGCCCATAGCCTACTTTTTGCAAGTGGGTGGGAGATGATTTCTCTCCAGAAAAGTTAGTTAACTATATTAACATCCACATGTTATAGCCAGAAATTCTTTTCCACTCAGAGTTCTCTTTTTAGCAGTGCATACTTGGTGTACCTGATGTCTCTCACGAGGAACTTAATATTTCTTCTTAGAGGAAGTGGCCACTGTTCAGTATGAAGTCTTAGTACTATGGGTTTTTTTATCCCTCATTACTCTTTAAAACCTCACATTCCCATGTGGAGCTGTGAGAAGAAGAAGTCAAGAAAAGTATATTACCTGCTTAAGAGTGAGGATTCATGAGGTGTCTGTTGTTCTTTAATTTCTGTGGGAAATAGTTATTTGCTTCGAAAGCAGCCTCTAGGAAAAGCTCTTTCTTACACAGTGATGTTTTCTGGCTGATGTTAACTGGCTGGAACGAAGGCAATGAGCACCTTAAAAAATAAAAATAAAAATCAGTGCGTGCTGCAGGTTTTCCCCTGCAAAAGCAAACCAGCAAGCAGTGAAACATCTCCTCCTCTCCGTGACAGCGGAAATAATAACCACACATATGTTCCCTCCACCTCACAGCTGAATGGGTGTACCTTCAGGCTGCAGTTCAAAATTACTCACCTCCTTTAGTGCAACCAAGCTCAAGGTTTATTAGTATTTGAACTACAGATAAATTTCATGTATCAGTATTAAGTTAGATAAGTTTTTGCTCCACTGGAGGACACCAAAACAATAGAAAGATTAATCACTTCTTGAAAGTAGATTTCTGTTAGTGCTGAGCCTTGGGTCAGTCTGCTAACCTAGGACAAGTGGACTTTACTACTTTCTTCAGCCTCTTACCCCTCATCTGTTGTACATGACAACGCTGCATTGATGGTGTCCTTAACACTGTGTAGTGCTTTGACATGTCCCTTCTAGATGTGCCCCAGTCTGGGCACCTTTCCCAGTCACAAAAATATATATTATCTTCATTGAAGTCTTGTGAAAGTGAATGAAAGTTTCTTATGATCCTCCTGAGTCAGGAAAAACAGACCTTTTCCTCAATGTCTTAATGCATAGGATTTGAAGTGTATTCATTACATGCATTTACACAGCAGAAGTGTAAAATCTTGTAAAACTTAAATAATTCCATTAATAGCCCCTTACATGGCAATTGTCTGCCATTTTTAGATTAAAAAAATATCTGGCACCTTTCCATGAAATGTTGTATGTGATTTACATGTCCATTTCCTCTCATGGAGTGGAGTTCTAATGAACAGTTGAATGTTTCATTGATACTTTATTTTGCCAATCCTTACATAATTTAAGTTAGATTCCAGTGATTCACTATTGACTATGCATAGTATTTTGGTCATATTTTAAAAATAAATTTAGCTTTGGGGGTGGGGGGCACATCAATATGTGTCCTTCTGGGACCACACTTGATCTTTAAGGGTGTAGGTTTGGGTTGTGTATTTTTTTAAAAACTGGAATTGTTTACCTTATATTATTTGTTGGGATTTTAAACATATTTCTGTGGCATAATTAATATTACCACTAAGAAAATGTCCTGTGTGTAATGTTCCCAACATTTTAAACATCATTTGGCATCCAGCATAGGTAAAAGACCAGAAAGTTTAACAACAGGTTGGCTGATCAGGATTAAATGCAGCTCACATCTTGCTGTGAAGAGAAGGCTTCATTCCAGTTTGTGTTCTTAGCTCAAAAAAGTTAATGCAGTTAAGATCCTGTTAAGCACATTAATAGGTTTTACACTTATAAAATCAATTCAGTAAACCATATGCTCTTTTAATAGCATATTTTAAATACAGAATTATATTTTTTTTACTTAAGCTAGCTAATCTAGCAAGATACAGCAGGCTGGGTTAAATTCTGTGGTGGTATTTTGAGTTTTAATCCTGTTTGCTAAAAAGTTGAAAGCTACAACTAACTTGCCTTCAGTAGGTTTTTGATTTGTGACTCCTAGCTCAATAAAACTTGTGTTTTTTTCCTTTCTGTAAGGAAGCCATCCCCCCTACAAGAGACAGATATTAACTAATGGTGCTTGAAAGTTTACATCTTATCTAGCCACTAAGTAATTGAAAAAAGTTAATTATCACTTATTGCTATTTTTTTACCACTTTCTTGTCATCAAAGTAATGTTATTTATATGGTGTCATTTGTTAGTGCTTTATATATTTACCAAAGAAAAAAACTAGCTGGGAGGAAAGCAAGTACTTTGCATTCAAGTGTTTGAAAAAGGTGGCTGTTTGTTTCATGTAAACTCGCAGGATCCCTTCTGACCCTAGGCTCTCAGGACGTCATTCAGAGATGTTAGTGCTGCTTTTAGTTTCTACCATAAACACTTCAGTCCTTCGTAAGGAGAAATTACTGCAGTGATCTTTGGAGGACTGTTCTAGGAAAGAATTGGGGCTTGACTTTGTTCTTGGCAACTTGGAACCTGGAATCGTAGGGGTTTAGTGTCTTCACATAACATTCAGACAAGTGGAAAATCAATATGAAAAGAAAGAAAAGAAAGATATTTTCTGACACAAATAGGAGAAAGCCAAATGTATACCCTTCTCTCCAATGTCTCCTCTCACTGATTATTCAACCCTTTCATGTATTTTTCACTGCAGCTTCTTTTTGTTTCAGTTGTTTATGAAATAATGAGAGGAGAATATATGAAAAAGTAGCTTTTGCCTACATTTTTAAAGCCACTAACACAAAAAGTTGCATGTGATGTTAAGGGAGTTGGTAACCAAAGTGCGTATTGAATTGAATATGCCAATTATTGACAATTTTGTTAATTTTGCATTGATTCAGTCAACTGCTTATCAGTTTTCAGCATGCTGCAGTTTATAAAACAAATTGGCATTGTTCTAAGAATAAGTGAATTCAGTGTATCCAGGAGGTGCTGAAAATCCTATTGCCAAAAATTTCCTGATAAGGACAGCGGTGAAATGAACTCTGCATCGCTTTGGCCTGCCAGAATACAATCTTCTTGACCTATTGCCCTGCTGTTAAAAGGAAGGCTCAGTCTCTTCATCACTGCAGGTGAAGAGTTCTAGTTTACAATCCCCAAAGATGGACACTCTCTTTACAAGTAAGTAGGAGATGTCCTTTGCTCTAGGTAGAAAAGTGCCATCTGAGTGTCAGAATACACCACCTTTATGCATGTTGCAAAGTATTGTGGGATGCAAAACATTCTACCAAAATCCCCAAACTCACTGGAGAGTAATGGCCCACCACTTTCAGGCCCAGTACTGAAGAATTGCATAAAAATGGACATTTTCAGTACTGGGGACTGTGTGGGAACTTTGACCTTTTTGTGTCATCAGGCTAAAAAAAATGCATTTTGCATATTCCACCAGGAAATGTTAATGAGGATTTGAAACTCAGAAAGTGCAGACAAACAGAACCAGTTGAAATACCAACTTTTAGGAATTTAATTCGATCGTGTTAGAACACAACAACCTCAAGTACTCAAAGGAATATATATAATAAAGATTAAGTTCAAATCCTAGTGATACTTTGCTCATAAATTTGTGAAATGAAAGTGCAGATTTTTTTAAGGCTTGTTATTCCAAAGCAGAACAGAAAACATTCTCTGTTTAAGCAAAGCTCAATCTCAAAATAGAAAGAAAACACACCTCTTAGCTGTGGCTTGCAGACAGAGCAACAGAGGACATCTTTACCAGTGTGTTTCTTCTGAAACTTATTTTTATCTGGTAGTTTTTATACCTTGGTTTGAAAGAGTATGTTAGCATCTCTTCTTTGATTGTTTTGTGGGTCTTGTATTTTTATCAGAGAACTAGGTATCATGTAGCTTCTGCTCCTGTTACCTGTTTGTGAAACTTAGTGGAATTTAGAATGAGGTGGAAAGAGTAGTCAAAGTGTCAAGATAGTGTATCTGGTTGTACAGGTATCTCTGTTGCTTACCCTCATCTTTATTTGAGGGTACACATGCAGACACCCACACACCCCTTTCTTGTACCACTGTCGGTGTTTATGTATTCGATTGTGTAAAATATTCTAGTGATAAACACCCTAAGAAAAACTGTCTTGTTTTTTCTTGCAGCAGATATGGGAGAAGAGTTTGTCAGCATGCTGACTGAACTGCTGTTTGAATTACATGTCGCTGCTACTCCTGACAAACTTAATAAGGTTAGCACCTGTTAGGGAGCTTCCCTCTGCTTCTTGAACAAAGACAAAGAGGGAGGGCTTTGTTCTGAAATCTAATACAGAGAATCTCAGTTCACATTGCTGGTCACATTTAAACTATCAGGCCCCTTTAAAGGGGATTCATCTGCTGATCTTAGGCTCCGATGAATGTTTATCTCTCTTAGCTATGTAGATAGACCATGGATAATTGCCTTAAGTTGAGGTGATAACTTATTTTAATTTGACTTCATGTTAAAAAAGAGACATAATAAATTTCCTACTAACCATAACAGTAATCTGAAATAGTATAAAACTTCAACAAGGCTTTTCCACTTTGATCAACTGGGAATGCAGCTAAAGATACACTGACTTGTTTTGTTTTGTTTTCCTTTAAGAATTTAGTACATCTTTCTTACCTCTCTACTATTTTTTTTCTTTTTTTATACCACCTTATTTTTTTTTATTTGGGAAAAATATTCCTCTGCAAATTCTTTTGAAAGAACTCATAATGCTAAAATATTAGTAACTTTGCCTAGTCTATGTGTTGGTTAGGAATATCACACCTGTAGAGAAATTATCCATCTTGAGGGAGTTAGAAGTGCTTCTCCCTGCAGTTTCTTACATGTGTGCTTAATAAATGCCATGCAGGGGCTTGATACATTTAAACTCCTGAATGTAAAAAAGAAGTAATTAAATGTATTGTTAATTAATGTTCAGGAACATAATTTGATATTTCCTATTTGAACTGAACATTGGGTTTGGGTTCTTTGTTTGGCAGGCTAGGAAAAAAGCACATGAATGGCTGGAAGAAGCCAGTCTTTCCACCCCAGTAGGTGTAGCAGAGAAGCTAAAAGAAATACCTGGAGAACCTGCTGAAGAAAAGACTGAAAAAGAAGATAAAGTCGACACTGATAAACCAGAAGGAGATAAAAACAAAACTGTGGAGGTAAAATAGCTTTGGGAGGATGTTTTATTAAGCAAATTGTCATACTTTGATAAGATTACTTCTTTATCTTTGTGTGCTGGTTTTATATTTTTTCCTGGAGTCAGCTTGTGAAATCTGTAATGCCGTAGTGCTAGCTAGTATTTTTTATCATTGCTGATAAAAACAACTGCTTTAATTGGGATTATTATCCTTTTTTACTCTGGAGATTCACCTGAGGGATGACACAATACTTTGGCTCCATCTGAAAGTAATTATGACTTATTCTAGAAGGGCTCTTTGTTAAGACTAGGTTTAAAAGTCTTGTGTTAGAAAATGGGAGAGCCTTACTTAGTTTCTGTCCAAATAAATGGTAGACTTGTTCTTACTAATTTTTCAGGGTGAGTGTAAGGTCTGTATTTTATAATCAGTGGACATTTAATTTCCCAGTATGTTTTGTGAGGATGACATTATGGCTGATAGTACTTGCCTCTGTGTATGGTCTTACTTCAAATTGAGACAGAGAGGGTTCCTGTGTTTCAAATTCTTTTATATCCATATATCTATATGTATATTAGTCACTATTGCTATAATTGGCTATATTATTCCCTTTCTTTATTTTAAGAAAATCTACATGCTGTCCATTGAAAGTCTGGCTGAGGTAACTGCTCGTTGTATTGAACAGCTTCATAAAGTAGCAGAACTAATTCTACATGGGCAGGAAGTGGAAAAACCAGCCCAAGATCAAGCAAAAGTACTGACAAAGTGAGTATTATGTACTTCATATATGAACATTCAATATTTACCTAAAATCATGAAGTTCCATTCAGCTTTTGTCACTTAAAGGCACAGTAAGTTCCATGGCTTGAGAAACAGCATGGGCTTTAGGGATCTTGGTGCTGTATTTTATCATGTAATTAAGCTACATAGGCTACCTGTCATTTTTTGACAGGGCTAACATGTGAATGTTTACAGAAACATGCCCTATTCAGGGACTGAAGGTTGTTTCTACTCCAGCAAGTGAATGTACGTGCTAATTTGAGTTGCATTTCTTGTTCCCTCTGCACAAGATACTGTGCTAGCACATACAGAATTTGTTTTGAGAGTGCATAATGCAGTCGTATTATCTGCTGATAGAGTTTCATTATCTGCCAAAATTATACAAAAACCAGTCTATTGTTCTAAACAAGAAGACCACATTAGTCAGCAACTTCGTAGTAAGCTACAACAAAACATACATAAATTCAAGAAACCAGGACTTAGTCAGTTCTACAGATTCAGTGGGGTTTGACATTAAGATGTTGTAAGCACCTCAGGCCTAAGTAAGTGAAATATTTACGCAGGTGTTTATCCTTGGGAATGCTAGTAACAATAGCAAACTTCATAGGAACACTTCTACTTGATCAGGTGTTTTGCCTGGTACAGTTACAGGGCTTTTACCCACTGACAAGACAAGGGTGTATTTTTATATTTGTCTCTTCTTTTTTTTTAACCAGTTTAACAAGTGCCATGTGCAATGAAGTTTCATCTTTATCAAAGAAGTTTTCTGATTCTTTAACTACAGCTGGGGTAAGATAACAGCATTTTCTGTGGAATTCGGCTTTTTTAAGCCCGAATAGTTCACTCTTGAAACAGAAATTATTATCTGAGTGTGATGGCTTTACATGAGATGCCAACAAAGAGAGCACTTCTTTCCTCAGGTAAAGAACAGAGAGCACTTTCACAGCAGATTCCCTGTTGGAGAGAAAATTTATAAGCCTTAATAGACTGCAGTGTGTCCCCTGCCTTCTAAATTCCCTCTTCCTAGACACATTTTCCCATTTTTCCTCATCACCACTCAACATTTCCTATCTTCTCATAGTGAAAGGACCCCACATTTGAAGTCACACAATTTTATATTTTATTCTCCTACTCAGCCTATCTCTTTTGAATGTGTTTCTGTAGAAGTCAGAACACACGCAGTACCTTAAGATGATTTCTTAGCTTTTGCTAAATGCCATGGCCTGGGGTCACTATGTTTTCAAAAGGTTTAAGAGACTAAAAAGTCTGTTTGATTGTCCATCTTAAAAAAAAAAAAAAAAAAAAAAAGGCAAAAGAAACAAAAAAAAACAACCAAAAACTACCCCTTTGTCTTGTATTTCAAGATACTCCATTTAGCTGTAACCATTTGTCTGTGAATGTTTTTGCTAGAAATAGTATCCTGCTTTTCAAGATGTTTCAAAGATGAGTGACATCTGAGTATTCTAGCAGGATTTCGAGGCAATAATTGTGCTGTTGCTGAAATTGTTCTGTAAACATCAAAGAAGGACAAAATCTGGCTCTCCTAATTACTCCATGAAAACATAAATGTACATCAAAGGAAATTTTCCTAGTTCTAAAAAAAAATTCTTTTAGTATCATATACAAAAAAAAAAAAAAAAAAAAAAAAAAAAAAAAAGGCAAAAGAAACCAAAAAAAACAACCAAAAACTACCCCTTTGTCTTGTATTTCAAGATACTCCATTTAGCTGTAACCATTTGTCTGTGAATGTTTTTGCTAGAAATAGTATCCTGCTTTTCAAGATGTTTCAAAGATGAGTGACATCTGAGTATTCTAGCAGGATTTCGAGGCAATAATTGTGCTGTTGCTGAAATTGTTCTGTAAACATCAAAGAAGGACAAAATCTGGCTCTCCTAATTACTCCATGAAAACATAAATGTACATCAAAGGAAATTTTCCTAGTTCTCCCTTGAGCTCTTCCAGTGCATCTCTGAGCAAGTTTTTTTCAGAGTTACTTCTGGAGAATATGATGCATTTGGTTGCTTTTATTCTGAATAATTTACATTCCTTCCCATTACTAGGGGAGAAACTGCTTATTTTGTATTTTGGGATTGTATTTTAGCATATATTTGTGTGACTCTTGCAATAAATACATGCACAGACATAATATTTCATGTGTAATTTATTTTTTTTAAGATGGCCCAGCTTATAAAACTGGAAAGTAAAGCTTTCAGAAGCATTGCAGTAGGTTTTGTTCTTGCCAACTGTGTACTCAGTTTTTGTGGACATTTGTGTGTAAACGTAAGTAACTGAGCACAAAGAGAACTCCCGCTGCCATAACACTCCCCAGAAGAGAGGTTCAGGGTGGTCTGGTGCTCTTCATGTGCTGTCCCATCCCTGTAGGCTTTTGGAGGAAGATGTGAGCCTTCTGCTTACCATGATCAGTAGGAATGTAAGGAACACACAGGACTGTAGAAAATCTACATCTTCCTGCATGTCCCAATGATTCAACCTCCTCCTTTACCTGCCAACAGCATCCAGGTTCACAAACACATTCCAGTATCCTGCAAAGTTCATTAAGCTGTGGGAAACTGAGGAATGGCTTAGAACAGAAAATCCTGCTCTTTTCAAACACAGTGCCACCCTGACAGCTGTATCTGTGTAACTCAGACACTGGTGGTAGAGCTGCCTGTACACAGTGTCTGTGATGTTTCTGAGGGAGTAGTAATGCAGAATTAAGAAATAATAGCTTTGCTTTCCATGCAAAATTTCTTTCCAACTTTAATTTACTGATTCATACAACCGATAGTTTTTTAATTGATACTACTCTGTTTTGCAGTTTATTGGCAATAACTTAACAGTGCATGCCATAGTGGATTTTCTAGTAATGGACAGTACAATTGCTCTTTCCCCTAGCTGTCTTCCCTTTGTTGTGCCATCTTTCTCCAAATGAAAATTAAGGTATTTCATATTTCTATAAATGTCTAATATGAAAGCTACAGAGTTTTAAGTGGACCTCCTTCAGTTACATTAAATGATACTGTGTTTTCTTCATTCTAACGAAGTTCACTGCTTGGTATTGGAAGGAAGCAACTTTTGATGGAGGTTACTGTCCTTCTGGAAAACCACAATGCACAGAGCAGTGAGAAATAAAAGAGGAAAGAACATTTGACATTTTAAAAAGAGCTGACATATGTTGGTTTTCTAGGGGTTTGATTACTGTAGCCTCTGATAATGTCACTATTCATTGTACCCATTTTTATTTCTAACTGGCAGTTGAGAAAAATGCTATACTTACTGAGCTACAGGTACTGGCCAACCTGCATTGTCCAGCTCAACATCTACCATCTCCAGTTTGGGGAGCTAATCTAGGCCTTTCATTTCCACCTAATCACAGATTTTCACTAAACGTCTAATAACTTAATTATCTTTCTGACCTGTATTTCTTCTTGTTTCCTTGAAATCAGCTACAGGGTTAACACATTTTAAGGGAGATGAAAAGGGTACTAGCAGACAGATGGACAGATAATATCATATAAATCTCATAGCTGTAGGAAACCAGGCAATTTGAAATTCTATGGTATTATATTCTGAATTAATGAAAAACTAAAACCGTGGGCCTTAGTTTGTTGTACTCAGTGATAGAAATATGTAGGGTCTGCTGAAGTGTGTGTGAAATCTAGACACAGTTTTGAGGAATACTGTGATAAACAGTCTGAGTAAGAATCAAGGTGAAGCAAGACCTTTATAGAATTCATAAAACCACTTCTCAGATATCAGTATATTTCTGTTAAATGTATTTCTTGTCCTGACATTTCATTCCATTTTCTGGTTTACAGAGCAGTACAAAGGCAGAGGTTCTCAACCCCATCATTGACAGTGTGCTATTAGAGGTAAGGCTTCTCTTTGTTCACATTAGGAAGTATTCTAGGAAAATTATTTTGAAATGAAACAGTCTCATTTATGTCTGAAGAAAGTACTACATTAAAAATAATGACAATGTGTTTCAGTGCCCAATCATAAACCTCTTGATTTTGTGTTCAGCCTCTCGCAGAAATACTGTAGTAGTGATATTGCATTTACTGAGGATTCTTCAGAACTATATGACTGAAGTGAGACTGCCCAGCTCTCATGGTCTGCTGCTGTTTTGGTCAGACAGTTTGCAGTGTGCTGTTTAGTCCTTTTTGTCATCTTCACAGGTTGCTTGGGATAAGTCTGTTCTTACTGTTCCGTTACCTGCTTCAAATCTTGCAAAGTATTTCTTACTCACATAAAGTTTCAGATGATGTTTTTCTTTAAAATTTGAGTTGCAGGTATGCTACAGTATTTTTCCGTCCACAGGCATTGAGATTTCTGCAAAGATTTACAATCTAGCACCAGGCTTGGTCAGTGCATAGGTAACCATGTGTCAGATGTCACCAGAATGTTCATGAGTGATTTATCAGACAGTCATGATCTATGAGTGACTTCTTCCATTAGACACCATGAGCTATTTTTCATCAGGAGGGTACAGCAAGTAAAACATGCCCCAGTTTTACTGAGGAGAAAAAGAGGTCAAGAGGGAGTTACATGCTTGCAAAGTACTAACGTTTACCTTCTGCAGCACAAATTCTTTGAACTCGGCTAATTAGGTCGCATTTCTCTTTAAATGCAAATAAGCATATAGTAGTGACTACAAATTGTCATTCTGTGTCCTATAGCTGTGGTCCCTCAAAAATGAAGAAAATTGCTTTACAATAGCAAATTTTGCACTGTAATAAGAATACCTTTAAGGAAAATCATGGCAAGTTGAATAGAGCTGTGGTAAAGATTACTGTGCAGTTCCTTTTGTTATAGGGTAAATTTGCTGTTGCAGCTGATAGATGTTTTCTGAGCTCTAAGAACTGGAAGATCTGAGAATGTCCAGAATTTTGGAATACAATCTTTTGTACCTCTTAACTCCCATATTTGTATACAAATATGTATTAGTACAGCCTAGGTTCATGGAGTATTTAAAGTTGCTATACTGCTCAGTGTTAGGCATTCCACTAATAGTACTATGTGTTAAAGCCATTAGAATAATTCAAACCGTTAATATCAGTGACACTTCTTCCACCTACAGCAAATTCAAAATCAGTTATTTTGATGGAGACACTAGCTGGTTTGTATTTCAAAAGTCAAATCTGCTTCTGAACACGGTAGCATTTTATGCTGCTTACAAACAGAACTCCCCAAGAGTTCAAACTGAGGGGAAACTAGGTTTTTACACAGTTATTTAAGCTATGCTTATTAGCTGTAAATGGTTGTAGTTTATTGGTTTTGTTATATAGAGATTCTAAAATCTTGTGTGAATATTAATATATGCTATATATGCTATATGTGCTAATATATGCTTGCATAGGCTAATATAATATGATGCAGATGTGAAAAAAAAATCGTTTATTGTAGATGTACAATGTAAGTCCTTAAATATGTGACAGCTGTACTGATCAACCACACGTTTTCTCTCCCCATTAGGGCTGCAACAGTACTACTTATATTCAGGATGCTTTCCAGCTATTGCTTCCAGTTCTGCAAATTTCACACATCCAAACCAATTGCTTGAAAGCACAAGAGTGACAGTTTCCCAGCAGTTGTCACCACGGGGCTTAACAGAAACCACAGATGTGATGTATTTAATTTATGCAGAGAGGGGAGATGGTCTGAGAGAGCTCTGGCCACTTAGAGTCCTCTGAAGACACTAAACGCAGTTTTGCACGTGCAATATTGAGCAATATTTTCAAGCTCTTTCAGACTTCAAAAGTAGTTAGTAAAGTGAGCAATTTATTTTCCATTTGAGTGAATATCCTTTACATTAACTTACACTGAAGTGTATTGACTTAAACATGGATTCTAAACGTTGACCCTTTCAGTTGTAGACGATACATGAAGCAAATTAGAACATTTCAACCCGAATGACCATTTCCATTGTTTGCATCCTTACTGTCAGTTAAAAATGTATATTTCAAAACTTGGTTTCAGTGTTTAATTTTAGCCAACATGAACAATTAATTGTAGTGTTCCACTTGTTAAGTATTATTTACAGTAGCAAATAATAACTTCATAATAATCTGTGCCAATTACTTAACAGTTTGTGTTGAAAGAGTTGTACAATAATAGTCATTAACTTTGCTAAATTAAAATTATGGAGGGTATGCATGCAGAATTATACTCAACATTTTCTGAGCCAATTAAGAGTATAGGTAAAGCTCTATATTTTGTGACCCACAATTTTATATTTTTATGCTTATTTTTAATTCCAATGGCTGAATAACATTGAGGGCCAAAGAAATCTTTTTAATATGCAAGGAATATAAAATTTCACTTTTTTTTGCAACTGAAACACTGCAAAATAATATTTTCTCAGTTGTGTTGCCAGGTTGGTGCTTTTGGGGGTTAATTGGAGCTTTAAACATTATGAACCTTTCTATCAAACAGAGTTACTGATACTGACAATTCAGAAATATGGGGTTTGGGCATTGAAAGGAAGTTGTGAAAATAAGTTACAAGACAATTGCTTTGGGTGGGAAGGTCGTATGTCAGAGCAATCACCTTTTCTCTGAGGCAGTAGCTAGACAGGACATAACTGAGCAACAGGAATGACATTTCATACTAATACCAGCAACCCTGGTATTTTGTCCATGTCCTTGGCTTAAAGTCCTGAGCTGTGAACCTCAGGGTTTGTTTAGGCTGCTTTAACTCATAGACAGGAAGAAGCTTCCAATATTTTATGTAGCCTGTTCTCCTGGATTTTGTTTATTGCATTTCTTTCAGCTATTTTTTATTTTTTATTTCTTGATACACTAATGAATTGTATTTAAATGCTTTTTAATTGTAGTTATCATCTGACTGTGCTTAATCATGGAAGCATAGTTCATACATCGTAACATTAATGAAAAGGAGCAGGAGGAAATACTGTCCTGTTTGTCAGAAATGACAAGCCATGTATCAGCTTTGCACATGGCAACTTCTGTGAGTCCAAATAAGGCAGGACAGAAAGGTGTGTTTGTGTCTTACATTGCTGCTGTCCCAGTTTTGCTGTCATATGCATTGTGACTTTTCTGTCTTTGTTGTTCAGAGATGAAATTTTCACTGTGCCTGAAATGATGTTTCTTGCGCAAAATCTATTTTTATGCCACTCTGTTATTTAACAGATTTGAAATGTCTTTCTGGGCAAGTAGAATGGGTACAGTCTTCAACAGAAGTTAGAAAAAACCTTGCAGCAACGTGAACAAAAATAAGGAAGCCCCTTAGCAGCTGAAAAGACAAACAAGGCTTGACGTTCATTGGTATTTATGCCTGGTTGAGCAGCTAATGTTACTACAACATGGGAGAAGAAGGAACAAGGAAAATGCAACTGGTAACCAGACTCACTATCCCAAAGCTACAACACAGCTCCCACCAACCATTATATCCATGTCATATCCATGCATTACAAAATAACGCTTAGTTGATGGAAAACACTGCATCATACCAAATGTTTCTCTGGCTTCTACCCTTTGGGGGGAATAAATGTCCTCTTCCCTAGTAGTCTTCTCTGGCTGCTGGAAGAGACACACAGTGGTGCTTACTTGACCAGGGGTCATTCTTCTATATATAGTTTTACCCAGAAGAACAGCTGCTCAGTGCAGGTTACTGAGGACCATCTACTTGCTCCATACACTTCATTGTGAGCAGATTTCAGTGTTAAAGATCTGAACATCAGTGAAACAATTCAGTAGCTTGTAAAAAGGCCTGTTTATTTAAAGTGTTTTTTTCTGCTGTTCTTGTGCTGGCAGGCAGAATATAATACCTCGTTTAAAGCTTGTTTATTTTTCAAATGAAGACTTCCAAGAAAAGTCTAGTGGTTTTGCCTATCAATCGTTGCATCCTGGGTTTATTTTTACTTTAATCATTATTTTTCATCAAGAAGCCTTTCTGTCCACCTTGGAGGAGAGCTCTGCATCAGGGACCTGTAAAAGTGGTATTACTGCCAAATGGGTCATAGAACACAGCAAAAGCTGTTTCCGATTGTTCCTATGCTGAGTCAGTGTTTTAATGGATAAATTAATTTAGTTACTTTTTCATATGGGTCTTATTTTTTCTTTGAAATGCAGTGCAGAATATAAAGTGTTAAGCCTGTCAGAAAAGTGTGTTGACCAATAGTGCCCTTTAGCAGAGGCTGGACAATGTAGTATTAGAAGCCTCAGGGGAAAATGTTTGAAATTGCTATGGGGCATTCTTAAGACAAAGATGGTTTGTCTGAGATAGTCCTTACTAGCAGTTCCACTGTCTTTTTTGAGTTATGTATGTATTGAATAAAGTACTTTACCCCAAAGTAAAAGAAGCTACAAAAAATAATGTGGGCTAAAAGTGTTTGCATCTCTACAATGTGGGATAGGAAATAGGGCAGAATATGAGCATAGGGATACTGCATCTGATCTCAGATGCAATAATCTTGCCCTAGGAAAACTGAATGTTGTATCTTTAAATAAATCTTAAGTAAATAATATTTTAGTAGAAAAGTACTATGTGGATATAACCAGAATATTTTGCTTACACTGGTTTGTGGTTTTTCTGTTGGTCAACTACATCACTTGAGATACTGAACTGAGACAGTACACTAAAAAAGAACATCTTGAAGAATAATATGTTGGGAGGATGTACTCAGTGAAGTCTTTCAATTTTGGATTTTGTGATTTAGCTTTGGAATGATGAGTGTGATCTTACTTAGTCTGACAAAAACAGACATTACCTTAAACTTCTAAGGGAGAATGTTATTTCTTTCATCACCACCTTTTCCAGGTCAGTGCACTGAGTGTGCCATAGCACTTGTTAAACTACTAGGTTTTAAGTACTTATTTAAAAAATAACTTATATTATGAAAATTACCTGTTCTCTTGAGCTGTTCTGTTTTTCATGTCATTCCATTCACTTAAGAGCACACCTCTTTATGCAGAGACAAAGGAGACAGGATTTTGCACTTGCTAAATTGAGAAATGTATCAAGATGAAACTCAAAGCTATGCCTGCAAACCTACAGTCTTGCAGATGATCCACTGTTACAGGTCATCGCTGAAGAGTGAGTTAAACTGTTAGAGAAGTAATTTGCTGTACTTTACTTGTGTATTACAGATATTCCCTTTTTTTTTTTTTTTTTACAGATATTCCTTTTTTTTTTTTTTTTTACAGATATTCCTTTTTTTTTTTTTTTTTACAGATATTCCTTTTTTTTTTTTTTTTTACAGATATTCCTTTTTTTTTTTTTTTTTACAGATATTCCTTTTTTTTTTTTTTTTTACAGATATTCCTTTTTTTTTTTTTTTTTACAGATATTCCTTTTTTTTTTTTTTTTTACAGATATTCCTTTTTTTTTTTTTTTGGCAAACAAAACAAAGCAAACTGTAAGTTGTTTGCTGCTTTTTGGGGTATAGTCTATTCATGTGTAAATATCTTTTCCCTATTATTTGCTCCTACACTCCAGCATCCATTGCTTGAGACAGCTGAACAAAAGATCTGTCTCTTCCACTTTTTTCATGCTGCTTAAATCATCCACTGCAGCCATTAATACCTTCCTCTAAACTGTGCCTCAATCATACTATACAAAATCACAGTGGTTACAATTTGATGTGCTTTTTAATGATGTTTCCAGTGTCGCCCACCAGTCAGGATTTAGAACAACTTTAATGAGTCTGAAGCGCAACAGTGTTTTGAGTGACAAATACAGATTTCCACCTTTTTTCAGTGAAAAGAAGTGCTTTTTATTATACAAGCAGTCACCCAGCTCACAGGATTATCTTTGAGGCATTCCACTTCTATTTCAAATGACGGGCCTGTCCTTTCTGTTAGTCTGAAAAGAATGTAAAGGGTGGAAAAATACTTTCCTGGGTTCTTTTAAAAACCATCTCAGAGCAAGGCTTAATGTGATACTATCAGCCAGCCTGACCTACTTTGAAAGCCCTCTGGACTTTAAACAATTTTTTTTCTGTCTCAGGTCCACCTTTTTTGCTGAGAATATGAGAACATAACCAGCTGCTTTTAGTGTGCAACCTGTAAATTTTCCATACTCTGACTGAAGCATTTATAATATCAATGAGGGTGTGCAGCTTTAGAAATAAAAAATGGAAAATAAAATGTCAAAAATTGAGCTGCATTAAAAACATGAGAGATAGAAAATTATTTTCAAAGGAAAAAAAAACCAAAAAGACATGCTCTCTGGAAATAGCAACAATTTTCAAGGTTGTATTAAATAAAAGACTTTCTAAAAGAATTTTTCAGCATTGTTCAGAATAAACCAGAGATGACATCTGACTAGTTCCAGCAGAACTGGAATAATGTCACTTATTAAGTAAAATGAAAATCTGCATGACCTCGAAGGAACTAAGTCAAAGAGAAGAACATTCAAAGAGGAAGAGCTCAAAGGAAACAGCTAATCTGATCTCTTTAGATCTGCAGTGCTCATTTCCCCTTTGTTGCCTGCACCCCAAATGTCCCTGAGTACAGATCTGCTAAGAACTCCTCATTAGTCTCCCCACTTTGATCTCCTTTCCACAGCCTCCCGTGACAGTCTTTAAGGAGGTGCTGTAATAGACTCAAAGCAGA